CCTTATATATAGTTGTTCTGGTGTGCAATGCCCTATAGTGTTGCCTTGATGGAAGAAGCTGAAACAGTTTATGTCCAGGATGTGACGGCTCTGTAGATATTTTCACAGCCCTCTTTTTTGCTCATGCAGTATCAGAGTGGATAATAATTGATGATTTTAAAAAAAACTTTTAAAAGAATCAGATTTTTTAAATTTAAATCGGATTTTTTTAAATTTAAATCAGATTTTTTTATTTTTATCAAATTTATTTTAATAAAATGCTTTTAGAGTAAAAATCTATCTAAATAGTTTTCTATTTAAGATACATTAACAATTTAGTTTATTCAGTACAAAATGGAGTTTAGTTATGTAGCATGAGGCTGTATATTCTGCATTATTTGCGTTTTTTGGTAAACTCATTCAATGAATCCAAGCTTTGCAAGCTGAGATAACATGCACTGCATTGATGCATTCACACAATTTCACAGTAACCATGAGATAAATCATAAAACAAAGTTCAGGAATATTCTTTTATCCCATTGTTTTGCAAATCTATGTACACTACAAACTGTATGATTGTTTGAAGAAAATGCATCTGTACCAGGCTCTAAGTGTTTTAATTAAATAGAAGAATTTGAGTAGGTCTCCAACTATCGTGTTTCCCCTAAAGTAAGACCCGGTCGTGTTATTTTTGCCCCCCAAAGAGGCAAAAATTCCTTTGTGGAACTGTATCAGCAGCTCCTTGGGTAGTCTGAGCTTTACAAGTTGCCACAGAAAGAACATTCTTTGTTGTGCTTTTTTGATGACACTTTTGATGTTAGGTGTCCATTTTAAATCTTGAGATATTATAGAACCTAGAAACTTGAAGGTCTCTACTGTTGATACTATGTTGTCTAGTATTGTAAGAGATAATAAAATAGTAGGGTTTCTGCCAAAATCTATCATTTCTACCGTTTTCAGTGTGTTCAAGATTGTTCCGGCCGCACCACAAGGCTAGTTGTTCAACCTCCCGTCTGTATGCAGATTCGTCATTGTCTCGAACGAGACCAATCACTGTTGTATAATCTGCAAACTTCAGTACTTTAACAGAGGAATCTTTTGAGATGCAGTCATTGGTATATAGAGAGAAGTGGAGAGAACACACAGCCCTGGGGGGGGGGGGCCCTGTGCTAATTATATAGGTATCTGATGTGATTTTGCCTAGCTTCACTTCTTGCTTCCTGTCTGTTAGAAAACTTATGATCCACTTACAGGTGTGGTCAGACACAGCCAACTGATTTAATTTAGTGAAAAGAATATCTGGAATGATGGTATTGAATGCCGAGCTGAAGTTTACAAAAAGACCCTTGAATAGGTCTTTGGAGATTCAAGATGTTGTAGGATTTAGTGCAGAGCCATATTAACAGCATTATCTGCCAATCTATTTGCTTGGTAGGCAAATTGCAAGGGGTCTAACAGCAGATGTGTAATGGTTTTCAGGTGGGCCAGCACTAGCTTTTCAAAGAAACTACGGATGTCAGAGCAACTGGTTTGTAGTCATTCAGTTCCTTGATGGAGGGTTTCTTTGACACTGGGATGATAGAAGACCATTTGAAGCAAGAAGGGCCAGCACATCTCTAATGATTTATTAAAGATTTGGATGAAGATGGGAGCCAATTGGTCAGCACAAACTTTCAAGCAAGAAGGAGTTATCTTGTCTGGGCCTGGTGCTTTTCCAGGCTTTTGTCTATGAAATAGACCTTGCACATTATTTTCTGAGATCATCAGAAGTGGGGGACCCAAGAGGATAGAGTCAGTTGTAGGAGGTTTGGCTGTTGTTGGTGTATCTAAGAAGGGAATAGTGGAGATAGATGACAGTGGTTTCCTCTCAAACCTACAGTAAAACACATTCAGGTCATCTGCCAGTTGTTAATTCCTTCAGCATGGAGAGGAGGTTTGCTGTAACCAGTGATGTTTTTTTTTTAGAGTTTTCTACATATTTGCTGGCTCATTTGTTGAGAACTGATTCCTTAGCTTTTCAGAGTAGTTTCTTTTTGCTGCTCTGATCTCCCTTCTTAATACATTTCTAGTCTGATTGTATCTTCTTTCCTGTAGGCTTCCTCTTTGGCAAGACATAGCTGCTTGAGTTTAGCTGTGAACCAAGGCTTGTCGTTACTGTATATTCATACGTTTCTGGTTGGCACACATAGGTCTTCACAAAAAACTAACATACGATGTTATATCTGTGAGTTCATCCAAGTCTGCAGAGGTATCTTCGAAAACTTTCCAATCAGTGCAGTCAAAGCAAGTCTGAAGTTTAGCTTTGCCTCCTCAGTCCAAGACTTCACTGATTTGATTGTTGGTTTTATGGTTTTAAGTCTTTGTCTATAAACAGGTACGAGGTGAATCATACTATGATCAGAGTGTCCCACAGCTGCTTATGGTAAAGACTGATAGGCATCTTTTAGTGTTGTGTAGCAGTGGCCTAAGTATTCTTGCCTCTAGTGAGACAGTTGATGTGCTGAAAATATTTTGGTAGCTCTTGGCTTAAGTTAGCACTGTTGAAATCTCCTAACACGATGAGGAGTGAATCAGGATAAATTTCTTCAGCCCACGGAATCTTGTCAGCTAGAGTTTGTAATGCTTTAATTGTGAGAGCTTATGGTAAAACATACACTGCAAATAGGACAAATCTTTATAGATTATATAGATTATAAAGATTTATATAATCTATAAAAGATAGATTAGAGAAAAAAAAGAAAGTTGTGGCGTGAACATAGAGTAAGAGGTTAATGTACAATTATAATTCCTAAAAAAGAAAATCACAACTCATTTCTTTAAATTTTCTTTCCTTTTTCTGTATTTTTGTTTTTTCTTTACTACTTTGTCTTTTCTTTACTACTGTTTTTTCTGTATTCTAAATATTAATTTCTCTTACTTTTCTCTTTCCTTTTTATAATCTTAATAAAGTTATTTTAAAGAAGAAAAGAAATGCAGGCAGGACACACCTAAATTTATCCATTGTAACATTAGCCTAAAATGCTAAAAATAGAGTATTATTTCAGCAGTTATACATGGTATTACCTAAATATCTACTTAAAAATGTAGTGTATGATATATGACATTGGAAGAATGTAAGTGCCTGAATAACTGAAAAATGTATTCTTCTTTGTAAACCATATGAAATATTATGTATAGAATGGCTTCCTAAAGATTTTGCAAAACAAAAACATTAAAATTAGAATCAACTTTAATAGGGTGAAATGAGCTATGATGTTCTCATTACATAATTTAAACTTAGTTTTCCCTATTTCTTTTAGTGGGGCTATTTAAACAAGTTATGCTTACTTCAGATACAAAAGCACATTTAATGTGCCAGATAGATTTGGCATCATCTTTAAGCTATCATACTTTTGTATATATAGCACAAAAATACTTTCATATAGTCAATTACAGTTGGCTGTTGCAGAAATGCCTGTGCAAGGCCTTTCTTTCCGACAATTGTGCAGGAGTGTTTGCCAACTGATGGCAAGTTTCCTCCACCATTTCTTCTTCCTCCTATAACCACACATATGCAGCAGTCTATCAGGAAGTAGTCTGACAAAGGGTGGCCTCTCCAAGCTTTGAATTCTCATTAAAGTTTCGCCTCATTCTAGCTGATTCAATTTCTAGCTGACTTACCAGACTGCTGACTGTTTTCAAAGACTAGCAGTCTCTCCTCTTGGTTTCAGAAATACAGTAATAACAATGTTTCAATAATTCAAGCAATTTCCTTACCATTGTGACCCATAATACAGTTCTTTAAATCTGATTATAAAGAAAACAATTTATATGTGTTGTTTGCCAACTTGCCACAATTCTTCAGACATCATGTAACTAGTTTTGCTCATTAATTTACTGGATATAATTTTTTATAAACCAAAAATATATTGCAAACAAGAACTCACCAAGTATATCATATACAGCCTTTGCTGTAAACTTAGAGAAGTCTTTTCCCAAATGAAGTACAGCAGATGCACCCAAATCTAATTTATAAGTCACTGCTCAAGGCAATATCTCACCTAAGCAAGTTCACTTCAAACCCAGCAAAAGGCATTGATGAAAATCATACACTGGTGCTTTTATATTTCTATTTCCTCTCTCACGAGACAAGGGAAGTTTTAAAGGAAGTCAAAGTACTGAGAGAGGATTGAAATGATGCCAAAGGAACTGCAAAGAAGCTAACAGTAAACTTCCAAATCAAGAAATACCAAGACTACTCTCACTAACACTGACAGGGCAAGCCACTAGAACAGTGGTGGCGAACCTATGGTGCGGGTGCCAGAGGCGGCACTTGGAGCCCTCTTTGTGGGCACATGTGCCGTTGCCCCAGCCTTGCCTCCCACGTGACCCCCTCCCCAGCAGCCACCCTGGAGGAAAGTCGCCCCGAGCATGGCCCACGCGGAGCAGTGCAGCTGAGGACATGGCAGCCAGGCAGCGTAAAAAAGACTCTGCCCTCACACCCCATCACGCAGTTGATGCTGCAGGACGCAGGCAAAGGGTGTGGCCACCATAGCGCTGCTGGGCTCCCTGGGCGATCTGCGGCGGGCCCTGGTGGTGAGTGGCCCTGCGGGCAGGCAGGGCGGGGATGGGGGGCAGAGCAGGGGCGGGTCAGGGGGTGGAGCAGGGCAGGGCCAGTTTTTGGGCACTCGGTCTCTAAAAGGTTCGCCATCACTGCACTAGAATATAACATGAGAGCAAACCCCACTCCCTACTGACACAGATCTTACTTGGTTTGGTTAATGAAATATCTGCAACAAGTCAAAATATTTTGGGCAAAAGATTATTGCTTTCATGCTATCAATTCCAGTCATGTTAAGAGTCTGCCTGAGTACTTTAACAAATATAATATATTGCTACTTTATTACAGTTGAGTAATGTTAGAATAGGAAAAAGTAAAATCTCCCCTCTCCCCCATTGAATTAATCCCACTTAGTGCTATTGTTAAAAATAACTGTAGATGGGGAAAGAAGGGGAAATGAACATATAATGAAATTTCCTACCTGGGCTTTCCACTCGTTTGTAATGATAGGGATTGATGCAGACTTCCTTCTGTTTTGAACCAAAGGGAAACTCACAGCATTCCAATGGTTTAAGTTCATGATGGCTCTGAAGATCAGGCCAGCGCCACACACGACAATAAATTACATGGGGAAGCCCCTTGCGATGAGAAACCTGAAGTCTGCCATCTAAGGAACGAGGAATTGTAACACAGTTGCTTGGCTGACCAGGACAACTTAATGCTTTTTCCAACTCTTCCATTGCTCCTTTTTTCTTCTTAAGTTTTTTAACTAAGGCATCAACAGCTTTCTCTGCCCATTTTTCCTCTTCATCCCCTTGCTTCCAACCCAGCAGTCTTTTAACAGCTGGGCTTGTAAAGGAGAACAAACTTGTCACATTCATAGTGATTAGTTAGAAGGAAAGTATTGGAGCACAATTTCTATATATCCTTCTAACAACTGTCCAGAACAAATTCAGATGATCTTTCCCAATTCCGAATTCTTGCAAAATGAACCCAACATTCCAGTCTGATAGATGTCTTTGGAGTTCCACTTCTTAGCCAGGTACCTACAGAACTTAACATTGGGAGGAAAAAAAAAGTTCTGTTAAAACAATATAACTTTACCCAGTGCTTTTTTTGTAAAAAAAAAAAAAAAAGGTGCCAGAACTCACACACATTATACAATCTGCCTTGCCTTCTCTACAAGGTTCCATCCAAAACAGGTGCCGGAACTCCGTTTTGGGCATTCTATGACAAAAAAAACCCTGACTTTACCAATATCGATAGCATACCTTTTCTACTTCATTGGCAAAATCCAGACTCTAATAGGACATTTTTATTATTACTGAGTAAAGGGTTATCATATAATATTAGTTCTTTTGTATTATGAAATAAAGCCAGTGTTTTTACTCCTCATGTAACATACAAACCTCTTTCAAAATAGTATTTTAGTTTAGACAACTGAAAGAATTAAAAGTACATAATGTTATTTCTATCAATCTCTGAAGTCGATCAGCAGTTAATATGTGAACAGTTTGCTGGCAATTCAGAATACTGATACTGATATCCCACCTGAATTTGTTGAGAGTTTATAAGCAACTATAACAGTCTAAACAACTATTAACTCTTTAGTTTAGTTGTAAAGTTTATAAAACTGCCACTCATAATTATGACAAATTAATTTTATTATATTTAGTGTTGCTTGTTATGAACCAGTCAATGGGTTTTTAAAATCCAATTAACCAAGATTATACTCTCTTCCTTTACACACACACACACACACACACACACACACACACACACACACACACACCAAAAGGGAAAAAATGGCTTAACAAAGATTCTGATTAAAATGCTTCTGCAGCATTCAAATCAAAATTCATACTGCTTTTTCCAGACATACAGTCTTTGTATATCCTGGGATACTAGACAACCTGTGACCCATTTAGGTACTGTTTCAGAAATATTTTCTTACTTAAACAGAGAAACAGAATGATTATAAGCAGCCGAAACAACAATGGGAGTTGAAGAGACTTCTTTTTTTCAACAATCTTTTTTATTAATTTTTTTTTCCGTCAACATATGTTAATTTTTCCAATCAAACAAGTTGTCTGGTATTTGCTAAGCTAATACATGTTCACTTCCTAATCCTTCATTCTTTTCTCTAACCAAGAATAAAATAAATTCCAAATTTGATAGTAGTCCGTATCTTCTTTGTCTTTCAGCCTCATAGTTAGTCTGTCCATCTCTGCACATTCCAATATTTTGGTGATTATTTCTTCTTCTGATGGCAATCCTTCATTCTTCCAGTACTGTGCAAAAATTATTCTTGCTGTGTGGTAATATGTAGAATTAAATATAATTTCTGCTCATTAATCGTTTCAGACATAATGCCTAGTAAAAAAAGTTCAGGTTTAAAATCCACTTGTTCACCAATATTTTTTCTAACCACATATGTATGCTTTTCCAATAGGCCTTTGCCTTCCCACATGTCCACCAAATATGATAATACGTGCCTATGTTATGTTTACATTTACAACATCTATCTGAGATATTTTTAAACATTTTTGCTAATCTTGCTGGTGGAAGGTGCCATCTATAAAACATTTTATACAAATTTTCTTTATATGAAGTTGACGTTGTTAATTTATAGTTTCTCTCCCATAACATTTGCCATTTTTTTAATTCTATATCATAACCAAAATTTTTTGCCCATCTTATCGTTTCTTTCACTTGTTCACTTTCCATATCTAAAATTAACAAAAAAGTATACATTTTCTTAATTAATTTCTCATCCGAGGTTAACAAAATCTTATCAAACACATTTTGATCCTTGTAAAATCCATACATTTTTACATCTTTTTCATATCTACTTTGTATCTGCAAATGTGTCCGCCAAGACAAATTTATTCCTAAATTTTCCAATTCTTGTTTAGATTTTAATTTCCCATCAATATCTAAAATATCTTTATATATCCATACTTTTTCAAAGTCTACCAGATTCGGATGTATAAATGCCTCCATCGTTGATAACCACCCTGGAATTTTTGAATATATTTTAGTTTTAATTTTTTCCCATACTGTTAATAAGGTATTTCTTATAAAATGATTTTGAAAGTACTTATGAACTGTTTTTCCCATACCATAAAAAAGCATGGCACCCCAATTGTAAATCATGTCCCTCTAAATACAATAACCTTTTATTTCTGAGTGTTATCCACTCTTTCACCCATGTTAACACAGATGCTTGATAATACAATGTCCATTCCGGCAACCCAAAACCTCCATTTTCCTTAGCATCTTGTAATGTTTTCATCTTAATTCTAGCTTTTTTCCTGGAGTTGGAGAGACTTCTGACTTCTGGCTGGCTTCTAGTGTCATTGAGTGTCCTAGTGGGAGCATTAGAAATAACCTTTCATTTCTTTCTTCCTTCTCTCCCTCCCTCTTCCCCTTTCCTTCTTTCTCTCCCTCCCTGCTTCCTTCCTCTCTTCCCTCCCTCCACTCCTTCCTTCCTTCCTATATCTCCACTCCTTCTCCCTCTCTCCCTATATCTACTAATTTTGACCAATTGAAAATTACAAACAAAAACAAGACTTTTAGTAGTATAAGAATATGAAATACATAAACTATTGACTGATTTTGATATTTAATTTTAATGATTCTAACACAATATCATTGCTCAGAGAGCTTGCCCAATAAATTTAAGGCACCAGACTAGGAGGCTAGGCACTGTGAGTTCTAGTCCTGCCTTAGCCGTGAAAGCCAGTTAGGTAACCTTGAGCCAGTCACTCTTTCTCAACCTAACCCACCTCACAGGGTAGCTGTTGTGGAGAAAACAGGAGGAGGAAGGTGGGTTGGATATAATCATTGCCTTGAGTTATTTATAAAAATAATAAAGGTGGGATACAAATAAACAAACAAAAAACCCCCAATCTAGTATAACAGATGATCTAAGGCGAAGAAGACTTTTTTAAGGGAAAAAAAAAAGTAATCCAGTAGACTGAATGCTTATCAGGAAGTGTTGAGATTCAGTCTACTTGAGTGAGAAAAATCTATGTTCATTAGGGAAGAGCAGTATAAATTAGCAGCAACATAATAAAAAAAATATTTATTCTCAAGAAACCTAAATCTCTGGAGCCAGATGAATCCTTGAGTACTGAAGGCACTAACACAGTGTTTCTCAACCTTGACAATTTTAAGGCATGTGGACTTCAACTCCCAGAATTCCACAGCCAGCATTGCTGGCTGTGGAATTCTGGGAATTGAAGTCCACATGTCTTAAAATTGTCAAGGTTGAGAAACACTGCACTAACAAATGGTTTGGCTGAATATATATATATATATCTTATCTTTAAGAAAACCCAGTGAACCAGTGAAGTGCCAGATGACTGACATTTCAGTCTTCAAAGAACAGAAAAAAGCAGGAAACTACAGATTCAGATATTCTGACATTGATACTTGGAAAGGTTCTTAGGGTAATCTAAATCATTTTGTATTAGGGTAAGCGTCAAAAGAGGCAATCAGCCAAATGAATCCTATTGAGATGTCTATAATTGACTTGTGGAAAGCAAAACATTTTGAAGAGTTTGTTTCAGCATTTGTTGTTTACTGCAGTTAAGCTTGAAAAGCTGACTTGCAGGAAGGAAAGGAGAAATGTCAATTTTAAAGTATATATGTAAATGAAGAAAACCCAGTCTAACTTGTTAGGAAGGAGTAGGCAATCCCCAGTTTGTAAGGATAGCATTCATGAAGGAATTTCTTCAATTAAATTAGGCCCCATGACTAATAAGACTAGCGGCATATATCAAAAACTAATTGGGTTGGGAGAAAGGAGATCTAGTTTGCTACAAAAATGTATTTAAGAAATCCTTATCCATTGGCCATGCCAGGGAAGGATAATAGAATATCTAAAAAGAGCTGCCAAATGTTATCCTAGAGCAGTGGTGGTGAACCTATGGCACGCATGCCAGAGGTGGCACTCGGAGCCCTCTCTGTGGGCACGGGAGCCGTTGCCCCAGCCCTGCCTCCCCCCGCAACCCCCTCACCAGCAGCCTGCCTGGAGGAAAGTCTCCTCCAGGTGCAGTCCACGTGGAGCAGCGCAGCCAAGCACATGGCAGCCGGGCAGCAGGAGCAAGACTCCACCCTTGTACCCCATCACGTGCAGATAATGCTATGGGGTTTGGGTAGAGGGCGTGGCCACCATGGTGCTGCAAAGCTGCCTGGGCAATCTGTGATGAGTGGCCCTGCAGGGGAGCGGAGCAGGGGGCAGAGTGGGGGTGGGCTGGGGGGGTTTTGGGACACTCTGTCTCTAAAAGGTTTGCCCTCACTGTCCTAGAGTTTAGCAGAGGCAATCAAGCATGTCACAGTCAAATGTACTGGTATCTTAAGTGCTAAGAATTGTACTATAAGAATTTCTATGTTACAATTATTGGAATTTTTAAAAAATGAATAATATTTGGTCTAGAACAGGGGTAGGCAACCTTGGCTCTTTTATGACTCATGGATTTCAACTCCCAGAATTCCTGAGCCAGCCATAGAACCACAGAAACAATGCTACAAATGCAGCTAGAAATAATGGTTTTGGCAGATGCAGTTATAAAGACCAGTTTCTCACAAAAACATTTGAGCAAATGGTGCAAAGGCAAACTTTACCAACCAGTTGTGTATTACGGGCCCAGGCTACACTTTCCAGAATTCCTGTCTAGTATGGAAGTTGTAATTCCTATAGATTTCAAGGTACCAAATTTGGAATTATTGCCTTAGCATAACTAGTTATCATTTACATTCTTAATAATTCATTCCTTCAGTGTATAGATATAATACAATAGCAAATATTTTCAGAATATTTACAATTTACAATGAAATTTACAGTTTTACAAATTTGAATATGGTACAAAAGCAAATATTTTCAAAAAGGAGTGCCAAAACAGGCTGAGCCTTTGCTTTTTCAGAGATCCATTCCCCTTTTGAACAAACATCTGCTTTTTTTTAAATAGCAGTTTTCTCATAATCTGTGTAGGTGTATTAGAAACACACAGGCAAAAGAACAGACATTTCCATCTATATTTAGATCTG